CTCAGGTGCAGAGTGAGGGGGCAGAAAAACCCACAGTAGCTGAACACAGTGTGTCTGCTCAGCTCCTGGTGGGAAAAAGAGAAGGGCCTGTTGGCCACGGGGAGCTAGGTTGCCTGAACCAGGGCTCCTGGGTAACCCTTGACTCAGGATGATATTAATGGTTTGCAGCCTAGAAACTGGCTTCACTGTCTGAAGCCCTGTCATGCACACCCATGCATACATGCAGGACTTGACATACCTTGAGATAGTAGAGCCAAGGGGTCCAGTTAAGAATTTTATTCAAGGGGCTAGGGATGTAGCTCAGTTGGTAGAGTACTCTCAAAGCCCTGGGTTTCATCCCCAACACCTGTGGTAGGTAGCCCATGCCTATAATCCTAGCATTTGAGAGAGAGCGGCACAAGTTCAAGGTAATCCTTGGCTACATAGTGAGTGTGAGGACCAGCCTGGGATACATGAGAACCCGTTTCAAAGGAAAAACCATGCAAAAACACAAAACAAACAAAAACTATGTACAAGCAGGATTTTTTTTTTTTTGAGACATGGTCTCCCTGTAGCCCCAGCTGGCCTGGAACTCACTATGTAGACCAGGCTGGCCTCAAGCTCACATAGAGCTACCTGCCTCTGCCTCCCAAGTGCTGGGATTAAAAGTGTGCTCCACTACACCTGGCATATCCCTTGCTTTCTAAGAGCTCAAGGCCCTGTGTGAGGGATGCAAGGCCCAGTTATAGACACATACATAGGTTGCCACATGCTGCTGACTAACAATGAGGCAGGGGCGGTAGGTGGATCATGAACAGTGAATAGTAGCTCCAAGGGCAGGCCCTATGCTGGAATAATCTAGAACAATCTCAGAGAATCAATGGGACCTGAACCAGCCTCTGAAGCACCCACTGACAGACCCTCAGAGATGGGGAACAGGTCCTGGAGACACAGGGCTGTAGACTGCTGACTCTCACCCAGTTGACTGGCTCTTTGACTTCAGGAGGCCATCAAGCCTTTCTATGACTACATGCAAAACAGACACAGTGATGGGACCCACCGCATAGAAATGAGAGAAGTTGACACAATAACCCCCACAAAGAGCCCAGTGCTTATCAATAGTAACCAATACTGACCGTGAAGGAAAAGACCAGCAGCAGCAAAAGAGGGATGAATTTCTGAGCTAATGGCACAGGGCTTGTACCCAAGAATAACAGGGTTCAATATGATTTCCTCCTCAGAGTCTCACCTTCCCAGATGCAAGACAAGCACAGAACAGGATCATAGAATCTGCCTGTTTCCAAAAGCATGAGTTTCTGGCTTTGATCTAGGGCAGCCTTCCTGTGTGAGCCTCATACTAATTCTCTAGGCCTTGTGACATTCTCAAACATCAGGGTAAAGCCGAGGAGGTTGAGGTTCCAGGGTCATCAGCAGTCTACTCTAAAGGCAATGAAGGCAGGGCTGAGGCTTGCAGCTTGGAGGGGAGGACAACAGTGGTTCAGGGGTAAACATCTCCACCCATTTGTGCCTTGGTCAAGCCAAGACTGCAAGCCAGAAGCCGTTGGGAGACTTTACATCTGATGTGGGGTGTTTAATGTTCTTTGGCAAAGACGTGACCTGTGTATTTATTTAGGGGGTTTTCCAGAAATGCTCAAGGCTTTCTCTTGACCCAATTAATCTTTCCCTTTACCTGGTTCTGTCTTCAAGGTGACCAGGAAACAGGTATGGGAAGGCAGAGAGGTTTTGGCGGTGGCACAGCAACTAGCTCTGCTCCATCTTCCTTGAATGTCCTGGTAGTTTGCTGTTGGGTATGGGGAGAAGTCTCCATTCAAGAGCCCAGAGTGGGTTAAAGACCAAGTGTCCATTCTGGCCTTCCCCCACTTCATCTCAGTGTGCCATGTGTTCAGAGAACTCTCACCCTACTTCCAGCCTAATCACAGATGAGGACCCTGTGCCACCCAGCAACCTTTCTATGTCCCTTGACTACATGCTCCAGGTCATTACAATTACCCTTACAGGACTGATGGATTTCAGGCCTCTGTGCATACCCTCTACTGTTGGACTAAGATGTCTCTGTGGGTAAGATGGACCATGGTGACTATGTAGGACTGAAACAGTTTCCAGGCAAAATTCAGGGTATCAGCTAAATTTCTATTTCACCTAAACAATGTAACATTTTTTTAGAAGTATGTCTAAAATATTTCATGGACATACATGTGCTAAAATCAATGCATTTTAGGGCTGGGATGTAGCTCAGCAGGTAGAATGCTTGCCCAGCATTGGTCCTGGGTTTGGCTCCCAGGACCAATTAAAACCAGGCATGGTGGTGACCCCAGCACTCATGGGTAGAGGGAGGTCATCTACTTAGACTCAGCTGATAGAAAAAAAGAAAAAAAGCAGTGGGTACCTGCTATTCAAATGTAACTAAGTACCCTAGATTCTTATTTGCTTGGTCAGGCAACTCTAGAGCAAATCACCCTGGATCTGTGGGATGCCCCCCACCAGTGGTGTTCAAGGATGAGCTGAACTTGGCTCTTCTGAGAATAAGTTAGGGCTCCAGGGAGATCAGAGCTGCAGTCAGACCAGCTCCCAACAGGAGGGTTCACAAGTGCCCCGCCCTTTGCACTGGGTCATCTCTTGCTTCTGTGTTGGAGACTGAGCTCCGTGGGAAAGGTTCAGGTGGGGAAAAAAAACCAAGGTTTGGGTGTGTAGAATACAGCTCTGGGAGGAAACTAAACAGGCCAAACTCAGAGGGCACCTGGCTTATCTGTTCTATATTTACCTTCTCTCCCCTGAATTCAGTCTCGTAGAGATGGTTTGTGACCCTTTGCTTGTGACATGCTGGTCAGAGACCATCCACACCTCCACATCAGGAGAGTTGGGGTTTCTGAATCTTTGTCACCCCAAAAGCCCATGGAGGAGGAACTTTTATCTGGTGTCAGGGCCTCTAACCCTCTTTCTGTGCCTTGGACATGTCTTCTAATACCAGTGCCAAGGGGCTCAGGGGGCAGGGAGCTTCTCTGTAGGATTTGGAACAGCTAGTTTGGTTCTAGAATTGGCACAAGAGCCAGGTAATGCCCAGTTTTTGAAGAGACTGTTTGCTCATCAGGACCTTAGACCTGTCCTACAGAGAGTTGTCTTCCTGGTGACTGAATAGGTCAAGATGCTAAGAGGGTACCTGGCTTAGCCTCCTCTTGGGACAGAAAGTGGTGGTAGACACTAGGCTGGCCACCTCAGCTGCACCTTGGAACCTCTGCACCCACTGTTCACTTCCTGACTGGGGTACCAGGTCTGCTCAGAACCACCCCCAAAGTCCCTGCCACCCATGCCCAGTTTTAAGGCCTCAGGCCACCAGCAGGCCAGACCCTCAGGAAGGCTAGTGGGCTAATGTTCTGCTCCTGGCTGTCTTCTAGGAGTGCCACATTCTGCCTCCCTTCCCCCTTCCCAGGCCCTGCAGAACAGGGACCACCCCAGGGGCCAGGCTCCCAATCAAGTCACCAACTCTGCTGACTGGAGCAGGAGTTTCCTAGCATCAGGGAGGCTTTAGTTCTTAACTGGAAAAGCAGGGCCTGAGGTTCTTGCCTGGCGTGGACCTTTGTGCACCAGCCAGTGAAGGGCAGGCCCAATTCTAGTGCTGAGCAGGCGGGTTGCCAGCAGCAAGATCAGCCTCCTCCGCACACAGGGTGGCAAAGGGCGATCGTTACACAGAGGGGGAGGGGTGTTTAACTCACTCTGAAGGGGGCTCCCGGGGATGGGGTAGTGGGAGGGACAATTCACAAAAGCCAGGGCTAGAAACTCCCAAAGGCCTTTATTCTGCCCCTCAGGCCACCTCCCCAGCGACCCCCCCCCAACTACGCTGTCCTCTTCTGCCCTGGTGCCGGGGTAGGCTCAGTTCTCGGTCTCAAAGTGAGGCTTTGGAAGCGGGAGGGGCCCCCGGAGGCCACAAGATCACCAGGCCGGTGGCCCCTGGTCCTTCTCTGCCACCGCGCCAGGGGAAGATGCTGTCTGCAGAGAGCCGGCCACCGCCACGGCATACCCGGGTCGCGGCTTCCTGGCCCGGGGAGACGCTCCCCTCACCCTCTCCAGGCC